TTTTAATTAACTGATTTTACGGCTTTGGGTTCTAGCTCTTCTGAGACTATCATTTCTTTCGGAATCTTAATTTTTATATCCTTTTTCTTCACAATATGCTGATGCGTCACATTGCGAAGCCATTGAGAGATTTTGACGACAGCTCAACCCAGCAGTCAGTTGATGACGACAGACACTCAAGTTCACAAGGCGCCCAAGCTATCAAAATAACTTGAGGTTTATATCGACATCAAATCACTTGTTTCGTCGTTTTCTCTTATACTTTTTTTTATAGAAGAGGGGGCAAACGAGCATGTGGCTCACCTGATGTTAAGTGACTACCGCCGCCCATGATCAACCGCAACACCAGGGGAATTGCAGGTGCGTTGCCGGCCCTTTAGAAAGGAGTAAGCTCTTTTCTTGAAGGTCCCCAGGTCTTATCGGTCCGGAAAAATCGCCGGTGGTAAATTATTCCACAGAGAGGTTGCACGCGGAAGAAAACTCCTTTTGAAACGTACAGTGGTGGACCGCCAAGCATCCAGATGGTGTGGATGGTATCGGGACGTTTGCCGCGTAGTGCGTTCACGAAATTTGGCAGGTGGGATTAATCCCAACAATTCCTCAGAGCACTCTCCATGGTATATGCGAAAGGAAATACAAAGGGATGCAACATCTCTTCGTAGTGCCAGTGAATCGAACCGATCGGAAAGCACTCGGTCGTCGACCGATTCGAGCCGCTCTGCGCTGGATGCGGTCAAGTGGAAGGAGCTGGTACTGGGGAGCCCCAGCCCAGAGATGGGAACAGTATTCCATGTGCGGCCGAACCTGCGCCTTGTAAAGTTGCAGGCGGTGTGCCGGCATGAAATACTGTCCCGCTCTGCTGAGCACGCCAAGCTTTTTAGAGGCCAATTTGGCCTTCCCTTCCAAGTGACCACGAAACTGCACGTCACTCGATATGTCGACGCCGAGGATTCTGATACTAGCTGAGGCAACAAGGGGGAGTGCCTTGAAACTGAGATTAGGGGTTCTTTTTAGCGGTTAATGCGCAAACTTGTGTCTTGGGGGTTAAACTGGACTAGATTTAGTCGCCCCCAATCCGAGACTCTGTCCAGCAGAGACTCGACTTCAGACACAAGTTTGTCCCGGCACTCAGAGACGTTTTCCCGAGAAATATTGGCTCGGCCGGTGTAAAGAGCATCACCAGTGCTGTCATCTGCATAGCAATGAATGTTACGGGTTTGCAACATATCATTGATATGCAGAAGAACAGCGTTAGCGATAGCACGCAGCCCTGTGGAACACCAGCATTAATAGGCTTGCAATCGGAGCTTGCACCGTCTACAACGACCTTGATGCTCCGATCTGCAAGAAAACTGGTGATCCAATCGCACAATTTCTCGGGAAGCCCATAGGAAGGGAGCTTCGAAAGAAGCGCTTTGTGCCAAACCCGATCGAAGGCCTTCGCAATGTCCAAACTAACGGCCAATGCCTCCCCCTTGGACTCTACTGCCTCTGCCCATCTGTGAGTTAGGTAGACCAGAAGATCACCAGCTGACCTACCACGGCGAAAACCGTATTGGCGGTCAGTAATCAGCTGGTGATCCTCAAAGTACCTCATGAGCTGGCAGTTTACAATGGACTCCATTGTTTTGGAGAACTAGGAGGTGATGGCGATAGGCCGGTAGTTGGACGGGTCTGAGCGGTCGCCTTTTTTTAGGGATCGGGTGGACGAAAGCCGTCTTCCATGATTTTGGGACTACGCCTAGGGAGTAGTAGTACCGGAAAAGACGCATTAAAACCGGTGCCAACTCTGGAGCACACGTCCTCAGCACAATTGGGGGGATTCCGTCAGGCCCACTCGACTTGTGGATGTCCAGGGAGAGGAGTGCTTTGCGAACCGAGCGCTGAGTGAACTGCACTTCCGGCATGGAGCACTCACACCGCGGGATGGTCGGCGGCGTACTTCCCCCGTCATCGAGAGTCGAGTTAGACGCAAAGAAAGAGCCTAGAAGATCGGCTTTCTCCATTGCGGTGTGGGCCAGTGAGTCGTCCTCCCTGTTCAGAGATGGCTGACAGAAATTCCTCTGGACAGTTTTGGCGAGAGACCAGAATGCACGGGTTCCAGAAGGAAGACGAACTAGTCTCTCGCCAATTCTGCCTATGTGCTTTGACTTTGCCTTGGCAATGACTCTTTAGAAGGACCTAGAGGCGGAATTATACTTCTTTTTTAGAGCGCTGGTGTTTACATCCCTGGACGCTGATGCGTCAGCCCAGGCTTGGTAGCACTCCTGCTTATAGCATGATGCTATTTTACAGGAGCGACCAAGCCATGGCTGAGATTTGCCTCCAATGGGCACCACAGAGGAAGGAATAAAAAGTTCCATACCCTGAAGTACCACATCAGCGACAGAATCCGCAACAACGTTGAGATCGTCCGGCGAAAGCAAACCCACCCCCGAGGGTAGGATTCAAAGAAAGACCGCATCCCATCCCAATCGGCTGACCTATAGTGCCAAACACGGCGGCAGCCTGCAGAATGCAACCGCGATTTCAGCGTGAGTGGCACCAAACTCCGGACAAGACAATGGTCCGAGGAGCCTAAAGGGGCGTCGACGGAAATCTGATATCCGTCCGGGTGAGAGGTCAGCAGAAGGTCCAACAGGGAAGGTGCATGATCCTCCACATCTGGAATTCGCGTAGGCGAAGTAACCAGTTGTGTCAGACCATATGCCAAGGCAAAATCATGAACAGATCTCCCCGCATGATCGGTTAAACGTGAACTGAGCCATTCGCCGTGATGGGCGTTAAAGTCGCCGAGGATCACGATCTCTGCGGAGGGGATCTGCTGTAGCAACGAATCTGCAGCCATTTGGACGTGGTCGAAGAGTCGGTCTGTTTCGGCATTACTGCTATGGGACCTATAGAGGCACCCGTAGACGCGCGGATGGTCGTCGCTGTCTACGCGTAGCCAAAGGATGGACAGGTCCGAACCTTCAAGTCTGCCGAGGCGTCGAGAACAGATGTCCTCTCTGACGTAAACGCAAACTCCATTCCGAGAGATACGAGACATCAGCCGGAGAGGACACCTGCGTCTTGGTCAGAAAGAGAGAGTTCACACGCGTGGACACTTAATTCACACAAAATCACATTATGTAGCAAGCTATAAAGTTTGGACTGTAGCAGTGTACCTGTACACTCCGTACTATGGAGTGTAGAAGTTAGGATTACCAACTCCCATAAGAGAATAGTTGAAAAAGTGTCCATCTGTAAGCAGTAAATAACAGTTCAAAAACTCTCCACTACAGCGCTCGAGTAGCTACGGGGTATGTTAATAAAATACGTTGAGAGTGATTTTGAAAACAAAAATTTTGAAAGCAATAAAATAATTATTGTAAAAAGAAAAGAATTATGGTGAGATTGTGCAATAAAAAAAATTATAAAAAGTTCTTTAAAATTTTGACTGCAGCTACAGTGGCGCTACCCTTATTTAACGCTTTCCTACGGACACTTTTTATACAGAGTCTTTACTCCTTACCTCTACACTCCATACTCCATCTTAATTTCACTTTCATTTACGCATTTATACAGTTAATGGTATAGACTTAGAATATACTGGCGTATAGGTTACCAACTTATGAAACCATTGCTTTTAGGGATCCAAAAGCGACCTCCTGGGATCCTGGAATATCTACAGAGTTAGCCTAAGGAGAAATTTAGAAACATTACCGAAAAGCATCAAAACGATTGAAGGTCTGGAGTTAGTGACGGAGACAATAACCGTAGGTATCTGTGAAGCCTTCGAGGACATTTGTACCGTCAAAACCAAGACAACAACACGAAAAGTTCCTTGGTGGAATACTAAGCTAAAAGAACTTAGGGAAAAGACCAGGAAACTATTTAATAGGGCTAAGACAACCAAAGAGTGGGATATTTATAGTGCAGCCCTAACTAAATATTATAAAGAAATTAGAAAAGCCAAGAGAACATTATGGAGGAAGCTATGCGAGGAAGTTTGGTCTTTGCCTCACAGTGCAAGACTACACAAAATGCTATCGAAAGCTAAACCTAATCAGATCGGGCTTCTTAAAAAGTTACTAGCAGGGTTATTTTTTTTTTGGTGGGTAGGTGTGTAAAAGTCAACAGTTGATTTGTAAGCTCCATTTTATTTATTCAAATAAAAATAGTTTAATATCTAATTTAAGTTCAATTACTTTCAAATCAGTGACTTAACACATTTTTGTTTACATTGTTATTATAAACATATGTGTTTAAAGAAGATTTAAGAACTTACTTGCATCACCCTACAGCTCCATTTAGCTTATAAGCGAATAACTATATTTATACATTTAAAGTGATTAACGCATGATGGCAAATGTGACCAAGGTTGATCTGGTGCAGAAGGAACTTGGAAGTTGATTGGATGCAAAAGATGTCAGAGTTTGAGAAACGCTTAAAAGCTGCTTTAGTCCCATCAAATCCAACCTTGGTTCAGCTAAGTGAGGAATTTTATGCTTTTAAAGACTTAGTGAGCAACATGTTTAGTCTTCTGCAGCAACAATTTCGGAGGTGTACTAATGCAGTAGATGAAATAGATATGCGACAAAGGCGTAAGGTACTACTTTTTAATGGTATTCCTGAAGAGTCTGGATTAAATGTAGAACAGGAGGTACTTGCAATTGTTCGTAATAAATTGGGCCTTTCACATATAAGCAACTCTTCCTTGAAGCGCTGTCATCGATTGGGAGCTCCGGGCAGTGATCGGACAAGAGCTTGTTCATTTCCACAGTTATGATACTAAATCTGAAGTCTGGAGATCTAACGCAAAATTAAAGAATACACCATACACAGTATCGGAGTTTCTCACTAAAATGAGACAGAGTACATATAAGAAGGCACGCCGACATCTCGGCATGAAGAAAGATAGTAGCCGCATAAAAATTTCCACTGAGGAAGAGTTTGATATCCTTCTTACTAAATGGCCCATGCCTAATTCTCCTTCTGTCACTGCGTAGGAAAGCCCATTAGAAACCAGTTCTCAGCAAGGTGGGGCCAGGCGTAGACAAGTCACCCCAGCGGTTCAAAGTGTGGAAATCAAGAAGACACGTCGTGTTGTGCCCAAAAAATAATTCCTCTGTAATCGGCAGTTTGTATTCTATCTTTAGTTCTTAAGTTCTTTTTATTATATTTTATTTTATATTTTTTTGTTTGGTTTTCCATTTGTTTGTTGTCATTGTTTGTTATCATTTCTTGACGGTAATTGTATTATTTACATTATTTGCTTGATTATAAAACAAACATACAGCGGATAATCCAATAGTGATAGTTCGACACAAAGAGTATATAATCACTATGTTTATGGAGTAAGCTTTTGTAGAAAGGGTAGAATAAGCTGTGTTTGAAAACTAATATTACTAGTATTCCATTGTTTTTTTTTTTTTGTTTTTGTGTGGTACCTTCTGGACTGACTGATGAACTTTTATAGACTGTAATGAAGGGATGGATTCAGGTTTTTACTGGGGCTTATTTTTTTATTTATAGAATAAGGGTGACAAACGAGCACACAGTCCACCAGATGGTAAGTGGATGCTGTGGCCTGTGGCATTTATTCTCGATTAAGAATCAACACGCAGATACGTTGTCACCCCTGAGGACTAAGATGGAATGTGTCGTTTCCAGTAAAAAAGGGTTTCCGAATCTCTACACTCACCATACGAAACACAGCAGTATTAGGCTGCTATTTTACGCTGGTATTCTGTGAGAGCGTGGTCCTTCCCGATCGAGCCGATCGATTCGTGCTACAACCATAATATAGCTGTAGCGTGCCTCTACCACGTAATCAATGAAATCTTTCAACTTGAATGGCAAAATTTATATTGAAAATGATAAAGCATTATTTATATTTGTGGCTAACCCACATAATGTGTGAATCCCCGCACAGCTCTGGGATTACCTTCATAAGTGTGCTAATATCGGATTGTTCGCCAATTACCTCGTACTACTCTTTATCATGATTAAGATTTAGTCATTTTTGAGTAGATAACGATGTTTTGTATCGTAATAATATTCTGTATACATTTACTATTTCACAATGGAAACGTTATAATAACTAACAGCTTAAAACTAATTTTGTTCTTCATTATTCTCTATAACAATAATGAAGAACAAAATCGGAATCGAGGCTTCTCTCAATCCGGCCTCCTCTAACGCCTACGTTGGGTTCGGTAACAACGTATGTGATCTCCGCAACGGAGTAACACACAAGGGCGATAACCTCTTCCTTTCCAGAAAATAGGTTCAGGCGGGGATTACGGGTGATAGTGATAAACAAATATTTGTATGCCTTTGTAGGCGAAACATAGTGTTACGTATGATACCTTTTCCACCAAGTTTGTAACTTTTTACCTATGTTTTACAAATAAATTATTTGATTTGATTGCGTATGTTAGCAAAATTTAAGTTCTTTTGTATCACACTGTTAAAAATATGTTCTTTTTGCATTACTGTTTGTTTTGGTGAATTTTGATGTCAAATAGTATCCATTAAGTTATCTTGTTAATTAAGTAACTAACTTAGTGATTAACGAACAGTAAACTTTTTTCTTATTATGCTTTGATCAAGTAGGTTAGTGTTAATTGCTTTTTTTTAAATTCTTATTATCATTGTTAACTATAAATATTCCTTTGCAATTAGTCAACTGTTGGGTGATGTATAATATGTATTGAGTCGAATTTTGTAGTTAGTCTAACAATAATAACATATTATTATATTATCTAATAACATATTATTATATTATATTTTTTTATTTATTTAAAATTTATTATTCTTATATCTCGATTATTAATGTTAGATATGTCGGATGTTGAATCTTTTTATTCTGCCCATGATTCAGATATCTCGTTCGAGTCTTGTGATGGTAATGATGGTATGCCCTCCCTCCGCGATGAGCTGATCAATTTATTTACTCCTTGTAAAAACTTGCTTAATAATATATTTAATGTCAATGCTCAAAGCATTCCAAGTCATTATTTTTATTTTGAAGAAGTTTTTTCTATAGATTGTGTTCATGCAATCTTAGTATCAGAAAGTTGGCTAAAGCCATCATTAATGTCCAGCTTATATCCTCTAAATGATTTTGTTCTTGTGCGTAACGACCGAATTGAAAAAGGAGGAGGTGGTGTTGCCATATACCTTAGTGCAAACATCCCTTATAAAATAATTTTAGCGTCTCCATCTGCGTATTCTGCCTCACCGGAGTTTCTGTTTCTGGAAATTGATATCAAAGGTGTAAAGGCAATTCTTGAGGTATTATACTGTCCACCTGCTGTAAATTTTTCGACTCTCTTGAAAGCACCCTCACTTTCACTTCATCTGAGTACACGCACTGCATAATAATGGGTGATTTCAATACTGATTTGTTGAGAAATTCTTCTCCTCCTCAAAAATTTCGTTCAATCATAGAGTCAGTCGATCTCCAAATTCTCCCCTTAGCGGCAACTCACCACAACATTGACACTGATGACTCATGGATTGATCATATTATCACGGCTTCTCCCGATTATGTCATTAAGCACGGACAACTATCGGCTCCTGCTTTTTCACGACATGATCTTATTTATATATCATATAAGCTGATTTCTCCTAAACTCAATCCCGTCGTGCTATACATTCGTAATATCTCTAGAATGGATTTTAATAAACTTAAAAGTGACGCCTATCGTATTAACTTAACCTCTTTATTTAAATCAAATTGTATTGACGATAAAGTCTCAATCCTTAATAATATAGTTCTTGGTCTGTACAACCAACACGCTCCCAAACATCAAGTAAGAGTGAAGCGTTCACCTGCCCCGTGGATGACTAAGGCCGTAAGGTTGGCAATGACTAGGCGAGATCAAGCATTTGTGAAATTTAAGAAGCATCGTACACAGGATAGCTGGGATCGCTACAGAGTGCTAAGAAACAGATGCAATCAGATGGTACGAAATACTAAACGCCGTTATATCGTTATGGCACTGTTCTCGAACCGGATTACGCGGTTAGTTGTACGGCGACGGGCGTTGCCGCCACGCCGCCACTCTGCACGCTTGGAACGAAACACTGTGCGCTCGCCGATAGAATCGACCGCGCACCGCTTCCGCCCAACCGAGTAAGTAATGAAACAATGAAAGTAGTGGTTTTTCAGCGACGACCGCGCGAACGATCTCCCACTTATGCTACACCTCTCATGTCTCCTTACAATGCCAGACTAGAGTCAAGCTCAACAGGGTCTTCTTTCCCCGCTGATTCTCCCAAGCCCGTTATCTTGGCTGTGGTTTCGCTAGATAGTAGATAGGGACACCCTCCACCTTCCATGGCCCCACCAACCTCACGGTTATACGGGCCGAATCTCGAGAGATGCACGCGGGAAAGAGCCCAGAGCAAGTACCGTAAGTACTTTCTTGACTCTCTACAAGTTTTTTAATCTGTTCCTGTCCCTTGTATTCCACTCTCCCCTTCTGGGCTGGACGAAAACACCACGCCTTCGGTTCCGGGCAGAGCGCTCCTTTGCCTCTCCATGGCTGTTCTTCTAACATGCCATCCGTGCGCAAACTCCCGCAGCCGGCCAAAACTGTCCTTACCGTCCACGAGGTCCGGGTAATAAACCGGACCTACACTTCTACGTACCATTCCGTCCATCATCTTACATCTCAGGTCGTCATACAACACACACTCCCATAGTACGTGATGCCTATCCTCATAGGAAGCACCGCAATCACACATACCCGATTTAACCAGTTTCATGTCATACAGTTACAAGTACAAGTTGGGTTGTGCCGGACTACCAAGTCTCGCAGATGCTCAGTGGGCATGGTTGTTTTCGAAAGAGTAGATAGGGATACCCTCCACCTCCCATGGCCCCACCAACCTCACGGTTATACGGGCCGAGTCTCGAGAGATGCACGCGGTACTTGCTCTGGGCTCTTTCCCGCGTACACTTTCTTGACTCTCTACAAGTTATTAAATCTGTTCCTGTCCCTTGTATTCCACTCTCCCCTTCTGGGCTGGACGAACACACCACGCCTTCGGTTCCGGGCAGAGCGCTCCTTTGCCTCTCCATGGCTGTTCTTCTAACGTGCCATCCGTGCGCAAACTCCCGCAGCCTGCCAAAACTGTCCTTACCGTCCACGAGGTCCGGGTAGTAAACCGGACCTACACTTCTGCGTACCATTCCATCCATCATCTTACATCTCAGGTCGTCATACAACACACACTCCCATAGTACGTGATGCCTATCCTCATAGGCAGCAACGCAATCACACATACCCGATTCAACCAGTTTCATGTCATACAGTCTTTTTCGAAAACAACCATGCCCACTGAGCATCTGCGAGACTTGGTAGTCCGGCACAACCCAACTTGCGTTGAGCCGCGCCGACACGTCCGGGAAGAAACAGAAAAGCTCCCTTCCATTCGTCTCATTTTCCCATCTCTCTTGCCATACTTTCATAACATCCGCCCAAATCTCGCGCTTTCGCCTGCTCAACTCCCCATTTTCTGCTTCTGCACGCAAAAAATCGATCCTACCAGCACGTGTCACCTCCAGATCAGCCGGAAGGACGCCGGCTAATACCGGAAGTGCCGCAGTGCAGATGCTGATAGTAGATAGGGACAATCCCTCCACCATCCCATGGTCCTACCCGCCTTGCGGCATACGGAGCGAATCTCGGGAGACGCACACGGTACTTGCTCTCGGCTCTTTCCCGCGTGCGCTTGCTTGACTCCCTACAAATTTTTCTGATCCGTCCCTCTTCTCTACATTGCACTTCTCCCCCTTCTGGGGCGTGACTCCACAGCGACGACACTTCGCGTTCAGCAGCTATCTGGTAATATCATTTAGTCCTCAAATTGTTTCCTCTTGTGATGCCATACATGCGCAAATCTCCTTAATTCCTTGAAGTTGGATTCTCAGCACACTAGGTCCCGGAAATAAACTGGTCCTATTGCTGTTCTTTGTATGCTGTCCAATAATGTGTTCCTTTCTTCGATATACAGATCACAATCCCATAATGCATGGTCACGACTCTCCAGTGCAGAGCCACAGGGGCATAAACCGGAGTTCTTAAGGTTGAATTTCAGGAGACGCTCATTGAAGCAGCCGTAACCAACCAGAATCTGCGATACTGCATAATCGGGCTCGACCCACCTGAAGATTAGGCGCTCTGTGATATCGGGGAAAAACTTGTAAAGGTCCCTGCCATCTTGGCTTGAATCCCATCGGTCCTGCCAAATGGCAACGACAGCCGCCATCATCTCCCGCTTTTTCTTCCTGCGCTCCTTGTCGACCAGACCCGTCCCCCCCCTCGTCGACTCGTCCCGCGCGAAGAACTTCCAGGTCGGCAGGCAATACGCCCGCCAACACCGGTAACGCTGCGTTGCTAGCCGTCCTGTAAGCCTTCGTGAGAAGAATCAAAGCTGATCTTTGCGTCCTCATCAGTATAGATACCATACGGCAGCAGCATATGTCAACGTTGCCACATATGTCCCTGAATACAGGACTCTAAGGGCGTGAAATCTTATGCCCCAGGTCGATGAAGACAATCGCGACATCTTCCCGAAGCAAGCAGCGGCCTTCTCGCCGATATATAATGCATGCTGCACATAGGACCTAGCCTCGTCCAAAACTATTCCAAGGGCTTTTGCCTGTGAAACACTCGTGATCGTAGCACCGTCCATCTTAACAATTGGTCCACGTTTAAATTTGCCCTTGTAGGTCATCGTTTGTGACTTCCCAGCAGAAAACCCTAGTCTATTTCGAACACCCCACTCGGACACGGCAGCGATCACAGCTGCCGCTTTGCGCTCTATTGCGGAACGAGACGACGCTTCGATCACGATCGTCACATCGTCGGCGTAAGCTACGAAGTGTACTCCTTCGGGTTTTGGCAGCTTCAGGAGGTCATCGAGTAGGAGGTTCCACAGGGTTGGTCCCAGCACCGATCCCTGAGGACAGCCCATCGTGGAGACCTTCCACACTACCCGATTTCCAGCAAAGAGTCCCACTCGGCGATTTATGAAATAACTCGTTAAAATACGGTAAATGTTAGGTAAAACGCCACATTGTTTTGCCTTGAGTAGGACCATTGGCCACCAGGCATTGTCGAAGGCTCCAGATATGTCCAGAAGGATCAGTTGCACGTAATTTTCGGTTGAACCACCGGCAATTCGGTTGATGGTGTTAAGCGCGGTCACTGTTGATCGGCCACGTGTAAAGGCATGTTGAGCGTCGGAGATTCCGCGATACAGACATGGAGCGCAGGAAATAATTACGCGCTCTAGAATTTTTCCCAATACGGGCAGCAGGGTTATCGGGCGGTAGGCCTTAGGGTCAGTGAGCGGCCTGTCGCCACCCTTTGGCAGGACAACCAATTTGCCCATCTTCCACAGATTCGGAAAAACGCCTCTGACTATGCACGCCCTGAACATGTGCCAGATCTCGTCGCCAGTAACCCGCCATGCCTGTCTAACAATCTTAGCCGTGATTCCGTCAATGCCGGGTGCAGTGTTCGGCAGCTCTCGAATGATGAGTCCAACTTGTTCCTTGGTCGGTGGAGCAGCATCAGTTCCAGATGGAGCACATGCAGCAGCGATTCGCACTTGTCGATGGTATTCAGTGTCCCGGGCTAGATTATCGTCTGGGCATAAGGCGTTGACGAGGCCAAGCATGGTGTCTCCGGTCGTCCTAGTATAGCCGTCGGCTAATTTCATTCCACTAAGCACGTTCAGAGGTGGACGAAATCGTCCACTGGCTGTTCGGTAAGCCAGGCCCCACGGGTCGGTGTTACCTGACTCCGCAACGGAGCGGAAGAAGGCAAGTTCAGCATCTTTCATGGCTAACTTGTAGCGTATTCTAACTGCACGCAGTTGATCATGTAGTGCCTTCTCCCTGTCGCCTCCTGCGCGACGTGAAGCCTGCCACTTGCGACGTGTACAGTAGACCTCATTTCGCATACGGTCAAGAGCCGTAGACCACCATTCGTACCCTTCTTTTTCCTTTTTAACACGTGTGCCTAGTCGCTCCCTCGCAGTACGAAGGAGTATTGCAGAGTACTGCTCACAGATTTCATTAGCTGGGCGTGTTAGCCTCAGCTGGGACATGCGGGCGTGCAGAGTCGAACAGAAACCTCCCCAGTTCACACCACGTTCACGAAAGTAACAGCCGTTATCTGAAAACTCTGTGCCATCGTACATCCGTGAGTCGCCAAGGATAACGCCAAACGTTATCAGCTGGTGGTCACTCACACTGACACCCTCATGCACCTTCCAGTCGGCAACCCTCACACTACGTGTGGAGATGGTGATATCCACGTTGGATGAGCCGTTTGGAATATGAAAGGTTGGCGGTTGGCCCTCCACATTGCTTGCACCACTAAGTTCCGTCCGAGGATGAATCTCTCCATCTGGGACTTGTGGTATTCCGTGTCGGGGCCACGACCTGCCCATTGCCTGCGCTCGCAGTGCCACATTGGAGAATGAGCGTTACTGTCAACTCCAATAAGTATTGGGTGACCAGAAAGCTGATCCATCACGTGTGTGAGATGTTGCAGGTGAAGAGAGATGTCATGACGGTACTGGCAGTATAACGACACGACGTACATGCTAAGGCTCTGGCAGCTGACATGACCTACAACACAGTGTTCGTTACATAAGTCATGTAGAAGTGTAATTATAAATCGTGAGCTTACTGGCAATAGGCCGGCCTTAGAGTTGGTGCCACACCCTAGCACTCGAGGATGCTGATGTTGCTCCTGGACTAGCACGAAATCCAACCCCAGTTCTCCAGCTATGACAGGAAGCTCAGTGGTAGCCACCTTGGAGCCTTGCAAGTTTAGCTGACCTACGCGAAAGGGTCATATTAACCGACTTCTGTTCCGCATACAAACGTGCAGGACAGCTGAGAGCGGCAGTGGTATGGGTGTCAGCGTCTTTCCACTTGAAGCGCTTGCATGTGGCGCAACACTGTGTAGCCGACTGGCACTCTGCGGCACGATGCCCAGTCTCGCCACATTTGCCGCACACCATCGATGCCGCCCTGCAATGCTTCTCCGGATGGCCGTATTGCTGACATTTAGAGCAGCATGTCACCCGTACGAAATCGCAGATTTCTGCTTCGTCCCAACCAATAAAGACGCTGCCAAGGCCGACCAATTTATCACGCAACGCAGATGTGCACTCCATCACTACTGTGGTGCGTGGTCCATCTCTGCGGCCCTTCTTGAAGGCAACTCTGCAGGACTCATTGAACTTGTCCTTAGGCCAGTCCGGGTCATCACTCAGATTGATCCTGTACAAGTCTTCTAGGAAGTCAGTGGCTGGTGGGTCCGAGCGCAAATTGCGCGCTGCCACCAGTGGGCGCCTATTTTTCGGGTCGGAAACCTTTAAGGATGGCGGAACCGCTGCTTTCAATTTCTGGGCAGCCTCAACAGTCGCCGTCTGTACCACAATGCCGGAGTTCCCAACTTTCCTTACACTGTGAATTTTTATGCCCTGGGTGCCAGGCTGAACTGCCTTCTGCAACTCGGTCTTGGTCTCATCCGACGACTTTATCGCCTCATTGTTTGGGTAAACAATTACAGCCGGGCCCTTGGACTGGACACAGAGTGGTGGCTTACCCTTAGGCAGCTTCAATCTGGAGGCATAGCTGTCAGCAGAAGAAGTTGAAGAGGCCACACAGGGGATAGGAAGGGCAGGAAGGGTCTGGGCTTGAGCAACCGAAAGCTCCAGCTGCGCACACTTAAGCTTCAAGGCCGTTACCTCCTGTTCCTTTTCGCCGTACCTAATCTCTAGCGTTGCCACGTACGCTAGGATGTCTTGGCTGAGGCTGGCAATGCTGGTCTTATCAGCCAAGTTGAGCTTTTTGCTCGCATTGGCGACGGTTACGATTCCTTTGAGAGCCGCGTGTACCTTCTCCAGAAGCGCAACCTTGTCCAGCACTGAGATGCCACTGGAGCCATCAGGATAGCTGAACCGCGAAGCATTACCTGAAGTTGCGGCGGGGTCTGGAATAGGCTTTGTTAGTATGCCACTAACTGGCGGATGCACCGACTTCTTCTATGCGACGCGGCGCCTGACCGCCTCCTGCACGTCCTCAGGTAAGGTTAACACCTTTTTGGCCGTCGGGATAGAAGCTGCAGCAGTAGAGGTGCTTTGTTGGACCGGGGGTATGCTAAACCCTTGCGGGGGGGGGGGTGCGGCGCAGCGAGGTGTGCGGTGTAAAACCAGCCTCTCGTCGCATCTGCTCCAGTTCTTCCAGCTCAGCTTGCTTTCTGGCGAGCTCATCCTCGATGAGTTGCCGCTCCGTACCACCCGTGTCATCCTCTTCCATTTATAAATAAACATCCAAACAACAGACCAAATAGAGAGCAATAGGGAAAAAAAATAAATATAATAATAATTATAGATTATGTGTATAAGATAAATATACTAAGGGGAATTAAAAACTTATATCTAGCAACACAGTGCCAGAGACAATGATAATGACAGCTGTCAAACGTCAAAGTCAGACGTCACACGTCAAATGTCAATTGAATCTGATAACCGCAAATGTCAATTGAAACTGAAAACTGAAAGCGCGTGCTCACCACGTGCTTACAAATTAACCTCAATTTAAGGTTAGATGAAATAAAATTAAATAAGTAATACTATTATAGAAATATTACTCTAAAATGTAAAATAAATTAAAAGAAATACTTAAACTTAGAAATATTTAGCTCAGCACAGGGGACCACCAAGGGCTCGGCAGCAGCCCAGGAGTCCCACAGGACCCCGGGCACTCTCACTGGGGTTCCCACCACAGTCCCGGTCATCTGACTGAATCGTGTCCAGTTCATGTGCGAGCCGCGCAATACCACCACTGGTATAACTCTCAACAGACTCTTCTTCAGCTCTAGGAGTCTCTTCAACTCCTTATAGGAGGAGTGACTCCAAACACCTCGCCAAGAGATCGTACAAGAGGTCGCGTGGACGCAATCCTTGTTGGGTAGTCGTAGTATACCAGCAACCTTCTCAACTAACTCCTCGTGAGTCCAGTATTTACTACGTTTCTCACGGTGAGCATCATCGAGGGGCCGCTGGCCCGAGACTACCTGAACGTCCACGATCACTCCGACGCCTCCTTTAGCGGCTACTATGTCGGGCTTCCGAAGGCCTTTCGAGGTCTTGACATGAGGCTCAGTCACCACCGACCATTGGTCTGAGGCCATCGCTTCTGCTACTAGCCTCACTACACGGTCATGGCGCAAGATCCGGCCCCCGTGCGTCCGCCAACATTGTTGGATGGTGTGAGCCGTCGTCTCCCTAACCACGCACCCGGCGCGGCAGTTCAACTCCGCCTCACGACCAATCCTTCGCCCTCTAGATGTTTGAACCCTTGACGGGATGGCGTTTATATGTATGTGGACGAACTGCACGAAGTCCCGACCCGAGACATGTGCAGACTCCTCCCGCATCCACTTCGTAGACGCGGGAGTGCGGGCAGATTCGCGTAACTCGAACCCGTCCACTGAGCTCCACAGTCTATCACGCCAAACCGTGAGACGGACCTAAGGCCCGTTACCGGATCCTCTCTGGTGAACTTTCGGATTTACTTGTCGGCCCAGCTCAACTTCTTTCGGATCCTTGCGGATCTGGCGGCAGCCTTTGCCACTGGCCAACTCGACGAGTCGAGCCGCACGAACCTCTTCAATATGAGATCCGGGACGGTCGCCCGAAGCGATGGGATCGCTAGGCCGCCGTCCTTGATGTCGGCGTGGAAGTACCCGACAGGCACATCCTTCGGGAGCCTCAGCCAATTCCTAACTGCACCCCGGATCTGGACGTCGAGCATGCTTAACCTATCATCCGAGATATTGCCCAACACAAGGCCATGCAAGAATCTGGGAATAAGGTGTCCCCTCACGATTTCGAGTCGCTGCTGCGGCTTGAGGGGTGCCTTAGAGATGTTAGTTAAGGCAACTTTGATATCATGCTCTAACATCACGCATCCAGACGCCTGGAAGTCGATGCCGAGATAGCGCCAACGTTCCACGCAGGAAGTTTGATTCAGCCACTTCCGACCTATCCGGAAATTTTTCCCGGTCAGATAGTGGTGCTTCTTGCGCTTTCCATCGGGCACCATCGACAAGACGGAGCTCTTGTTGTTGTTTACCAAGAGACCCATCGACGACGCAACCTCGAACACACGGTCAATGGATTCCTGCATCCCTACCTTTGAGCCTGCAAGCAAGACTAGGTCATCGGCATAGGCCAGAGCCGAGACTCCCTCCATTTCCAGCCTATAGCCTACCTCTTTCGGTAGAGCGGCAAGAATTACGTCCATCGCCATGTTGAACAGGATGGGCGACAACGGATCTCCCTGACGCACACCTCGGCCCAGTTTAACAGGTGCGCTCGACTGTACGCCGACATCCAACGTGGTGGTCGCCGAGTCGTACAGCCGAGAGATGTAATCACAGAATGCCAAGGGCAGCCCCCGAGTCTCTAGACCAGCGCTCTATGAGACACTGTGTCGAACGCCTTCGCGAAATCGAGGACCGCCACATGACACTCTCTTAAACTTTTCCTGCTATCCCCTAGCACCGCGTCCAGCACGGCGGAATTCTGCAACGTGCCGTCGGCGCAGACGAACCCACGCTGTCGTGCATCGGGGGGGGGGGGGCAGCAATCCAGAAGTCTCCGCGCCAGGACCGAGTGCATGTGCCTAAGCGGTATCGACGCGATAGAAATCGGTCGATAGTCGCCCGGCCCAGCAGGAACGTCCGTCTTCGGCACGAAGATCGTCCGGCATTGCCGCAGGGGCTCTGGTATTACGCCAGTGGTCAACCAAGAGTTGAATGTTTCCGCTTTCCGGGCCGCAGGAACTAGGCGCCACTCATCCGGGCGGATACCGTCCGGACCAGGCGCCGTTTGCCAGTTGAACTTGGATGCCTTCACTTCGTCGGTCGTGAAAGGCACCCACAGCCGAGAGTAATCACGTGCGCCCTCATACTGCTCCTCCCGCCTTAAGGCGTTCAGCGCAGACGGTGTAGGCCCTGAGGCATCCGACACCCTCTCTAGGATTGGTCGCCAATAGGCTTCCAAATCTTCGAGAGAATGCCGAACGCTCATGTGCACGCCGTCGATCACCTCGGCTGCTGCTCGACTGGGACACGTTCGAAAGAGTTCCTGTATCCTGGCGTACACTATTCTCCTCCGCTTGCGGCTCGACATACCGGCCAGTGCGGTGTCGGCCCGAGTCACGTTCGAGATGCGGAGCCGCCTCGCACTACGGGAACCCAGGCCGTGTCGCGACCTCCTCATCGCGGCCCTCTCAAGAAGATCCGTGACAATTTGGTCTGCACACGAGTTATCTGGGACACTACAGTAGTACGGTGATGGGTCATCAGCGACAGGCGGTGCGTCTTCAGCTGGCAGAGGCTGGACAGAAAGCGCGACACTTTCGGATTCCGGCCGTGTCCATCCCCTGCTCTCAGGCGCTTGGCTGCTCTTGGGTGGGATTTGTCCTTGACTTCTGCCGGCACTCTTGTACCAGGCGTTTATATTCCCCACAGCGCCTTTTTCCTTTGATAGCCTCTAGGGTCCGCTCGAACCCCGACAGGCTTTGGAGCAGGTCTGCTTTCGTACAGCGACCGGTCTCTTCAAGTAATCGCGCCTCTGTACGCGCCATCAATGCCAGCTCCTCATCGCGCCACCTGCGCTTCACCATGTTTGGAGCGGCCTCCGCATTTGCTACTTCGGGGTGGGCCCTACGCTTGTGGACCCCTAGCCCCGTTTTGGTGGTGAACACACGTCCACACACCGGACACGTCCAGTCAGAGACCGCAGAAACCGTGGCCGAAGCCCCAGTTTGAGCGGCCGAAGATTGGGCCAAGCTCCCCGGCTCCTGTGGGAGGCCGGGGTGGCAAAATAATACTTTTCTTCTTATTCTGTCTTGTGCTTGTGTTTTGCCCAATGTGGCCGGGGTGCAAGACCAGCCACCTGGATCGCCTACCGCTCTCGCTATGGTCCCGACCGAAGTCAACGATTCGACTTGGCGACATGAATGCCACCCATAGGGACTGTTCAGGGATCTCACCCTGAACCTCGCACGGGTTACGTTCCAAGATGGAGAACGCTGCGCATACTAGACGAATCTAGTAAACCCGCTCACAGGCCTGACTACAGTCTCCCGTTTGCATGTCAACATCGCAACTAAAAAGCCGCGATGAGACAATCTAACGGGAGACTATAGTGGAAATGTGCGCTGTGCCTCGCAGAATTAGGAATGTGCCAACGAGACGGTCACCCCGCAACAGCCGCTTTCGGAGCATACTAATTTAGGCACGTCCCCCCCCTCCCGTATCGGTCTTGAGCGGCGGCGCCACGTGCAGGCCTCGGGTAGGAGTTGAATCCGCGTGACTGGAAAGGGCCACCCAGACACCTTTGAATGGTCGGAAAATGGCTGGCGGTTTCCCGACCACCACACCAGGATTCCATCGAGAGAGGAGCACCCACGAACTGCTCCCGTTAGGGCCGGGACGCGAGCAGGCGACCCCGCTGCGCCCCGTTATGAGGCTATTCGGGCCTCAGCGATCGGTGTCATCGGTCTCACCACGTGCACCACAGCGCAGAGACCCACCTCAGAGTCATAGTTACTCCCGCCGTTTACCCGCGCTTGCTTGAATTTCTTCACGTTGACATTCAGAGCACTGGGCAGAAATCACATTGCGTCAACACCCGCGAGGGCCATCGCAATGCTTTGTTTTAATTAGACGGTCGGATTCCCCTTGTCCGTGCCTGTTCTGAGCTGACCGTTGAACGGCGGTCGTACAGGCGCGCGCCGATATCGCACGAAACGAAACCGACTCGACCTTACGGCTAGGAAGATCCGCGGAAGGCCGGAACGCGGGTCCGTATTCAGCCCGCACGCCCCGAGAGACGCACGAGCATCGACCAGGCCCGGCACCGGCCGCATCCGCTTCCCGTCCAAACCCGACACGCCCCGGTCCTCAGAGCCAATCCTTATTCCGAAGTTACGGATCCAATTTGCCGACTTCCCTTACCTACATTATTCTATCGACTAGAGGCTCTTCACCTTGGAGACCGGCTGCGGATATGGGTACGAACCGGCGCGACATCTCCACGTACATCCCTCACCTGAATTTTCAAGGTCCGCAGAGAGTATCCGGACACCGCCGCAAATGCGGTGCTCTTCGCGTTCCGAACCATATCTCCCTTCTATAGGATTCCACGGAACTCGAACGCTCAGGCAGAAAAGAAAACTCTTCCCGGACCCCTCGGCGGCGTCTTCAGGCCACTTTGGGTTACCCCGTCGAACACTCGCTTTGAAACGAGGGAACGATTATTGAAACGGTTCCGCTGCCGGGTTCCGGATTAGGAACCGGATTCCCTTTCGCTCAAAGGGCGTTATTTATCCTCTAATTCATATTAGAAAAAAAAAAAACACGCCACATCGACATAAGATCTCTCCTTGAGCTTAGGATCGACTGACTCGCGAGCAACTACTGTTCACGCGAAACCCTTCTCCACGTCAGTCCTCCAGGGCCTCGCTGGAGTATTTGCTACTACCACAAAGATCTGCACCGACGGAGGCTCCAGGCGGGCTCACGCCCAGACCCTTCTGCGCTCTCCGCCGCGCACTTACTACTAGTTACGGCGTAATGACGACATGAGTGAACACGTCGCACTTGCCCGTAACGGTAGTATAAGGCAAAACGCTTCAGCGCCATCCATTTTCAGGGCTGGTTGCTTCGGCAGGTGAGTCGTTGCACACTCCTTAGCGGATTCCGACTTCCATGGCCACCGTCCTGCTGTCATGAGCGACCAACGCCTTTCATGCTGTCCCATGAGCGTTTTTTAGGCGCCTTAACACTACGTTTGGTTCATCCCACAGCGCCAGTTCTGGTTACCAAAATTGGCCCACTTGGCACCGTCATCAGATCTCCGGCTTCATCGTTCGAGTAAGCCGGAGTTCTCACCCATTTAAAGTTTGAGAATAGGTTGAGGTCGTTTCGGCCCCAATGCCTCTAATCATTCGCTTTACCGGATGAGACTGTTCGTCATCGACGCCAGCTATCCTGAGGGAAACTTCGGACGGAACCAGCTACTAGATGGTTCGATTAGTCTTTCGCGCCTATACCCAGTTCCGACGATCGATTTGCACGTCAGAATCGCTACGGTCCTCCATCAGGATTTCCCCTGACTTCGACCTGACCAGGCATAGTTCACCATCTTTCGGGTCCCAGCATCTCTGCTCAGAGCGCGCCTACATTCACGGATTGGAAACGAGACGCCTCGGGAGTGCGAGAGGTCGATCGAGACCGACGCTCCATCCTCCCTGAGCGCGCGCCTTCACTTTCGTTGCGCCTTTCAGTTTATACGTAACTCAATGACTCGCACACATGCTAGACTCCTTGGTCCGTGTTTCGAGACGGGTCCTGCGAGTGCCCGAAACTGAATCATCGCCGACTGAGACGCGCACGGTCTGAGACAGCACGGCGGCGACAACAGACGCGCCGCACCGATGTCCGCGCAACGGCAGGACCTCGATAATGACGTTGTCTTGCGTCGGGCCGGACGCGCTTTGTATAAGGTGCGCGTGTGCGATTCGTGTCTTCTACCGTCCGACGGCCGGTCGGCCACCGTCACGGTCCAGCCGTCCGTTTTGAAGGGTCGACTGGGCTCCCGGACGGCGCTTAGGCCGACGTCGAACGGGTCGCGATGTATTACTAAGAGAGAAGTACACGCTATCCGCGGACGTCGATGCGCCCGGCCCGTGACGCCCGACGCCCCGATTAAGGGACACGGACGTCATCAGAGCGCGAGCGCGTACGCCGCGGAATGACGATGAATCTCTCCGTTCGTTCATTCGAATTTCGCAGGTTTACCCCTGAACGGTTTCACGTACTCTTGAACTCTCTCTTCAAAGTTCTTAATGATTTCTTATATTTACGCGAACACTATACATTGATTAAAACTACTTTTACGGATTTTATCGCGTTTTATTTATATTAATTTTAATACCCGACGTTTCGGGTGCTTTCTAGCACCCATGGTCACGGGGGACTGAGGTGACTGACGTCCCGATGTCAAAGTTAACCCGGAGTACCTTCAGCTTTTTAATTATTGTCTTTGGTCCGATCTACGCAGAATGAACTAACTGTATTTTGAAGTCTCAGTGGTATGCTTGGGTTTAGTTTTAATTTTATTAATTATAGGATCCCAAGCAGGTGGTAGTACCCAGCCTCCTTCTCTATTGAAATTAGGATGTTTTTTAATTTCAATAGCCTCACGTATCATCCTTGGTAGGAATCGATGTTCTTTCGCGAGGATTTATGGTCTATCAAATCTGATGTAATGGTTGGGGCCATCTAGAATATGATCGCAAACTGCAGACTTCCCGGAACGTTGATGCTTCACGTCAGCTATGTGTTCTTTTACGCGGGTTCTAATTGATCTCTTTGTTTGCCCTATATATGAGAGACAACAATCACAATCAAGCTTGTACACTCCTGCATCTTGTAGAGGAATATGACACTTGACGGATGGTAAGAACTGACTAATCTTCTTCGGTGGCTTGTAGAATGTTCTAATAGAAGCTCGCTTCAAGATGTAGCCAATGTTGTCTGTGACACCTCTGACATATGGTAGTATAGCAGGCACACGCTCGACTGTGGCCGGCTTCACTCGGTCACTGTGACGGAGGCGCGGGACCCGAAGCTTGTTGTCGTGCAGAACCTGCTTGACGTGCTGAAGCTCGGCGGCCAGGTGTTTGCTGTCACAGATCCCTCGTGCTCTCTGAAACAAAGATTTGCCCACGGTAGCTAACTGTGAAGGATGATGGTGAGATTCACCATTTAAGTATCGGTTTGTATGGGTCTTTTTTCTATACACAGTATGACCTATGGTGTTGCTAGGATTTCGGATGACTAACACATCTAGGAAAGCTAAGGAATTATTTGCCTCTAACTCCATAGTAAATTGAATTTTAGGGTTTATGGTTTGATGGTAAAATTGTGAAAGTATCGTCTACGTACCGCTTGTAGAACCTTGGGGTAACAGGTGCAGTAAGGAGGGCTTTCTCCTCAAAGTCTTCCATGAATATATCGGCGACAATGGGAGATACAGGTGAGCCCATCGCAACACTTGCTTGTAAAACTCGTCCTTCCACAATAGATAGCCAGATGTAAGGCAATGTCTTAGTAGTACTGCATATTCTGGTGGCATATTATTTTCATCTAGTTTCCTAGTTATAATAGAGATGCAGTCTTTAACAGGTAGGCATGTAAATAGAGACTGAACATCAAAACTGACCATGGTTTCATTGTCAGAAAGACGTGGGTCTTTTATCTCACTGACAAAATGGTATGAATCCTTAGTATGTGCTCTTGTGTGTCCTCTGAGTGGTGATAATATTTTGGCTAAGTGTTGAGCCAATATGTACGTTGGCGAATCGATTTGACTCACTATTGGACGTAATGGAGCGTTAGGTTTGTGTATTTTTGGTAACCCATACAACTTGGGAGGTTTTGCACACGAAGGTATCATCGAATTGACGTCTAGATTCAATTTCTGGAAGTATTTCTTAATTAGATCGCTAGTTGTTTTAAGCGTATTAGTTGTAGGGTCTGTTTTGACCTTACGGTATGTACTTTCATCCGACAAAAGTTGTTGTTTTTTAAAATTGTAATCCGACGTATCCATTACAACCGTAGCATTTCTTTTATCTGCGCGGAGAATCGTAAGTTCTGGTCTGTTGCGTAAGGTTTTTAATGCGTTAAATTCATTTTTGGGAAGATTTAATTTCGGCGCTGTACTTCGACGTAACATGGACGAAATGTCTTGGCGTATGGCCTCTAAATCTTCATTACCAATATTATTTTTATACAGACAATCCTCAACACTACAGATAATGTCTTCATACGGGATTCTTCGCGGTGTAATTGCATAATT